TTATTATTATTATAATTAGAGGTTTATTATTATTTCGTACTCAGGTAGCGACACAGGTCTCCGTTCTGATCGCAAAGATCGCCCGCCTCGACTGCCCGCGTCATTGGCCGGCGCTCGTGCCGACCCTCCTCGAGTCAGTGCGCCGTGACGACGACAGCCTGGTGCAGCAGCGCGCCCTGCTGACGCTCTACCACGTCACGAAGACGCTCGCCTCGAAGCGCCTCGGCGCCGACCGCAAGCTCTTCCAGGAGCTGACGTCCGGCATTCTAACGTTCATCGCGCACCTCTGGTCTCACCACCTCGACCGCTTCCTGCAGCTGCTGGCGGGCGAGGACGCGGCGGCGGCGGGGGAGGCCCTCGAGATGAGCACGCTCGCGCTGAAGGTGCTCCGCAAGCTGCTCGTGTACGGCGTCCGCGACTTCCACACGTCGGACGACGCCGTGTGCTGCGTCACCGCCGCGTTCGAGCGCCTCCCGACGCTGCTCGAGTGTCGGCGGCGGCTGGCGGAGCGGCGCGGCGGCGGCGGGGCGGCGGCGTCGTGCGAGAAGCACGTCGGACTGCTCATGAAGCTGCTGATCGAGCTGCAGGAGCAGCACCCGCTCTCGTACGGACAGCTCATCGGCGCGTCGCTGCAGTGCGTTGTCACGTACCTGTTCACGGAGGCCGGCGACGGGCTGCTGTACGAGCGATTCACCGTGCAGTGTCTCAACGTGATGAAAGCGATCATCACGTGCTCGGAGTATCGTCCCGCGAAGGTGCTCTCGGAGACGAAGAACCAGCTGACGCTGCGCGCGCACAAGGCGAAGATGGACTTCTTCACGGCGGACACGCTCGTCGAGATCTGCCGCCGCCTGCTGTCGCGCTACTTCCCGCTGACGGAGACCGACCTTGCGTTGTGGCGAGACGATCCCGAGGGGTTCGCGATCGACGAGGGCGGGGAGGCGTGGCGCTTCAGCCTGCGGCCGTGCACCGAGGTGCTCTTCCTCGCGCTCTTCCGCGAGTTCAAGACGACGCTGACGCCCGTGCTGCTCGCGCTCGTCGACGCGATGCGCCGGCCCGCCGACCCCGCCGACCTCGCTTTCTCGCTGCAGAAGGACGCCGTCTACACTGCCGTCGGCCTCGCGTCATTCGAGCTCTTCGACGAGATCGATTTCGACGCGTGGTTCGCGACGACGCTACTGCCGGAACTGCGCATCGCCGCTCCCGAATACAAGATCATCCGCCGCCGCGTCGTGTGGTTAATCGGTCAGTGGGTCGGCGTGAAGATGAGCGTGGCTCAGCGTCCAGCGCTGTACGAGTGTTTGCAGCCGCTGCTAGCCGGCGACGACGACCTAGTCGTGCGCGTCACCGCGGCGACGACCCTCAAGCAGGCGATCGACGACTTTGAGTTTGACGTCGAGCAGTTCGTTCCGTATTTGGAGTCGAGCTTCGCGCTTCTGTTCGCGCTGCTGCGGGATGTGCGCGAGTGCGACACGAAGATGCACGTGCTGCACGTGCTGTCGTTCGTCATCGAGCGCTGCGACGCGCGCGTCCGCCCCTACGCGTCGACGCTGCTCCGCTACCTGCCGCTGCTCTGGGACGCGTCGGCCGAGCACGACCTTCTGCGCTGCGCGATCCTCACGACGCTCGTCAACCTCGTGCGCGGCCTCGGAACCAGCAGCGAGCAGCTGCACGGGTTCCTGCTGCCCGTCGTCGCGCTCGCGACGGACACGACCGCCCGCCCGCACGTCTACCTGCTCGAGGACGGGCTCGAGCTGTGGCTGGCGACGCTGCGCCACGCGCCGCGCATCACCGCCGCGCTCATGCAGCTCGCCGCGAACCTGCGCGCGCTCATCGAGCTCGGCACCGAGCACCTGCGCACGTGCTTTTCGCTCGTGCAGGCGTACGCGCTCCTCGGCCCGCGCGAGTTCCTGGCGGAGCTCGCTGCGCCGGTCGCGCGCGCCTGCGACGCCCTCTACGCCGACGTGCGTCCGGAGGGCGTCGTCGCGATCCTGCGCGTCGTCGAACTCGCGCTGCGGCTCTTCCCGCGCGACGGCGCGCGCGCGTTTGCGGCCCTCATCCCGCGCGCGCTTGCCTCCGTCGTCGACTACGAGGACACCCCGACCGTGCTCTCGGCGTGTCTCGCCGTGATGTCGCGCCTCGTCCTCGACGGCGGCGACGCGCTGGGGGAGGCGATCGCCGAGGTCGCGCGCCGGCGCGCGCAGACTGCAGACGCCGCGCTGCGACGCGCGCTCGACGTGTGGACGGACCGCATGGGGTGCGTGACGCAGCCCGAGCGACGCAAGCTGTGCGGGCTCGCGGCCGCCGCGCTGCTCGCCGCGCCCGCCGGACCCGCGCGCGATAAATTCGCCGACCTCGTCGCGATCGTCGTCGAGGTTCTCAACGACGTCTGCTGCGAGGAGGGCGGCCTGCAGGTCGACGCGCTCGTGTCGCCGGCGACAACCGTCGTCGACGACGACGATGAGCTCGACACGGAGCACGACCGGCGGAAGCGTGCGCTGTCGCGGGCCGACCCCGAGCACACGATCTCGCTGAAGGAGTTTGCGATGGCGCAGCTGCAGAGCTGCAGGCAGACGCACGGCGAGGAGGCGTTCGCACGCATGATGGCCGAGGTCGATGCTGAGGTCACCACGCAGCTGCAGGAGTTCTTCAGGTAACCGCGGCAACGGCGCCGTGATGGTGCAGTGGCAGGAGTTCTTCAGGTAACCGCAGCAACAGGACGCGACGGTGCAGGGACGTTGACTTCTTTGGGTAACCATGGCAACGTCGCAACTGCCGGGTTACTTCGGGTAACCATGGCAACATTGAGGTGACTGTGAAGTTGCAGGATTTCTTTCGATAACTGCGGTTACCCTAACATGACAGTGGACATTGTTGTTGCACCAGTTCTCTAGGTACTCGTGATATTCATCAGGTAACCAGGCATGGCCTCTCACCTGCGAGGGTTCTCCCGGTAACCGTGGCAACGGCGAGGCAGCGGTGC